ACCCTTCGGCGTTACACGGCAAAACCCTACTGCTGCCGCCGCCTTAGCTACGCACGCCGCTCCCGGAGCGGAAGATGTCTTCCCTGCCCGCCTCTTCCGCTGCGTCCACCACGGTGATGACCCCCTTCCTCCGGCTCTTCTCCAGCGCTGAGCACCGTTTCTCCCATCGGTGTAGCAGCGCAGCCGGCCCTTTCTCACGGCTTTTCATCACCAAACCGCCATCCCATGCCGTACTCCTTATTTCAAAATCTTCCCCCGACGTTTCCATGGTCCGCCCCAGTCCCGGTGCAGCAGGTTTCTCTTGAGTCACCTCCCTTCACGGCTCCTACCTTTGCTGGTCCTACGTTCGTTGGGTCCCCAGGCGTTGCCTCTCATCTGCCGCCCCTTCGGACGCCTGCCAGCAGCTCTTCCGGATCCCTCTTGGCAGAACTCTCTCAAACAATTTCCCATGTGGCGACCAATGTCACGAACATTGTGACTACCAAACTTGTAGCGGTGGAAGATTATACTACTTGGAGGACTCAATTCGAGTTGTTTCTTGTTTCACAAGGTCTCCTTGGCATGGTTGATGGCTCCTTTCAGGTACATCCTGCTTATTCCATAGATGTTCTTAATCGTCAATCTCCCAATCCCGAATTTTCTACTTGGCTGTGCATTGATCAAACCATCCGATCATGGTTATTTGCGACCCTTTCGCGGGATGTTCTTATTGATGTTCGAGACTTAAAACATTCTTGCGAAATTTGGGAACGATTAGAATCTTGGTTTATGTCTGCCAGTTTAGCCAGATCTATGGAATTAAAGCGTTTATTTTCTCAGCTTAAAAAGAAACCTGATGAGTCCATGGACCACTATTTAAGGGAAATAAAAACTTTGGTTGATGATCTAGCTACAATTAATTGCCCGGTGCCACCGCAGGAAGTGCTGAAAACTACCATTATGGGCCTAAGACCTGAATATGAATCTCTATTTACAACAGTCTCATTATTTCCACAAAATTTCCCCTTTGAGACACTTCGGAATAATCTACTTGAACAAGAACAACGGGTCCTTTACCTATGCTCCCAAGAATCATCTTCCATTCACTAGGCTTTTGGGTCGACTACGGCATCCATCGGACAGCCCACTGGCCAGGAGGCGGGCTAGTAGCAGCTTCCGTATTCGTCCACCTCTGGCCAGCAGCAGCGCCAGCCAGGTCAGTAGCCGGACCAGTCGCATCGCGGGAGAGGACGCCGAGGTCGCGGGAGCAGGAGCCGAGGACGTGACCAGCAACCAGCACACTATGGGCAGCCGGTGTACTGGTACCCGCAGCAGGGACAGTCCGCTTATAACCCCGGAGGGGGTGGCCAGCCAGTTCCAGTTAGCTTTGCTCCACATGCAGGGGGTGTGACATCCACGGGTACTGTTATTTGTAATTCTGCTGTGTCACATTTAAATATTAATGCCTTACCTGTTTGTGCTACTAACTTTAGTTCTGCAGGCTCACCATCAGACGGGGGTATCCTTAGGTTTGTTCCAAATCCTGTTGTGTGTCAAATTTGCTTTTCTGCCGGTCATTTCGCCGTCACTTGTCCTTCCCGTTTCACACCACTGTCTGCTCCTACTCTGTTGACTACTCCTGGTGAAGCTAATTCTGCTCCATGGTATCCTGATTCGGGAGCATCTGCTCACATGACTGCATCTGATGGTAATTTATTTAATAAATCTCCTTATAACGGCTATAATTCTGTTAGTGTTGCTAATGGTGCCCATCTCCCTATTTGTCATGTTGGTGATGTTGCTTTACCTTCTTCTGGTCGTCCTCTCACTTTAAAATCTGTTTATCATGTGTCTCAGTTAAAATATAATTTAATTCCATTCAAAGGATCTACGTTGATAATAACTGTATTGTGATTTTTGACAAAAATTCTTTTTTTTATTAAGGACAAAGCCTCGGGGGCAGTACTTCTGCGAGCTACCAGTAGTGGGCCACTTTACCCTATCAGTCTGCCATCATCATCACCATTAGTCTTTGCTTCCGTTTTAGCTTCTGGCCCTGTGTGGCACCGTAGACTAGGTCACTGCGGTAACAATATTTTACAGTTTCTCAAAAGAAAACAATTTTTATGTAGTCATACTCCTTTCACTCATGAGTGTGTGGCTTGTCGTTTAGGAAAATCACAACGTTTACCCTTTATGGATGCTAGTCATAATTCCATTTTTCCTCTTCAACTTATTTATTCTGATGTGTGACAATCTCCTGTCCTGTGTATTCAAATTTGGGATTCAAGTATTATGTGTGTTTCATTGATGATTATTCTCGTTTTACTTGGATTTATCCCTTGTGTCACAAAAGTGGAGTTTTTATGCAATTTAAAAATTTTAAAGCTTTGGTTGAAAATCTTTTTAATCAAAAAATTAAAATTTTTCAAAGTGATGGGGGAGGTGAATTTGTTAATCATAATATGCAGCAATTTTTCTTGGTTAATGGTATTTATTTTCGAAAATCTTGCCCTGACACACCCCAACAAAATGGGGTTGCTGAGCGCAAACCTCGTCATCTACTTGAGTTAACTCGAACTATGGTCCTTCAAGCTTCTGTTCTGAGTCAATATTGGGTTGATGCAATTTTTACCGCTGCTTATATCATTAACAGATTACCCTCTCCTACCTTAAATGGTCTTTCCTCGTACCAAAAACTCTTTAACTGTGTTCCGGATTACTCGTTTATGCGCGTGTTCGGATCGGCCTGATATCTCAATTTTTCAGCCACATCAGCTAATATATTATCACCTCGCTCTGTTCAGTGTATCTTTCTTGGCTATGCATCCGGTTATAAGGGTTATCATTGTTTTGATCCTACCACAGGTCACGTTTATGTTAGTCGTCACGTTAGGTTTCATGAGGACATCTATCCATTTAAAACACGTCTGCATCTTGTCTTTTCTTCCTCTAGCTCCACTACACCGGCTCCGATGAACCTCACCGACATTACACTAGACCTCCCTGCCCAGTCCCCTCTGCACCGCACACACCAACTCCCTGCACTTCCTTCATCCACTCCTCGGCCAGCCCACAGTCCAAGTCTTTCCTCTATGTCGCCGTCCTACACATCCTCCCCGGCATCTCCTTCTTCCTCCGCCAGCTCGCCATCTTCAGTTTCATCGTCTCTAGACAGTCCTAGGACCAGCCGTCCAAATACCTTTCCGGTTACTTTTCCAGTCGACAATGTCTCACCCGAACCTGCCCCACAAGTGCCTCCTACGGTTGTCAATCAGCACCACATGCAAACCCGCGCCAAGGCAGGAATTTTTAAGCCTAAAACAATTTTTAACTTAAGTACGATTATTACTCCTGCAGATCCTACTTGTTTTACTGAGGCTAATAAACATTTAAAATGGTGGGAGGCGATGACTGATGAATTTAATGCACTCATTAATAATAATACTTGGGAGTTGATGCTCTTTGACAGCTCTAAGAATATTGTTGGTTGTAAGTGAATTTATAAAACTAAATATCATTCTGATGGGACCTTAGAGCGCCATAAAGCTCGATTAGTTGCACAGGGTTTTAATCAGCAGGCAGGTATTGATTTCTTTGAAACTTTTAGTCCTGTCGTTAAACCCACCACCGTTCGTATTGTTCTTACTATTGCTGTCAACTTGATGTTAAAAATGCCTTCTTGCATGGTCATCTTACAGAAGAGGTTTATATGCGTCAACCCTGTGGATTTATTCATCCTCAGTTTCCCAGTCATATATGTCGTTTGCGCAAGGTCATTTATGGCCTTAAGCAAGCCCCACGGGCACGGTTTCATAGATTTAGTAGTTTCCTTTTGCAGCATAATTTTTCTTGCAGTAAATCTGACAATTCCTTGTTCATTTATCGCCAGAATAATACTATTATTTATTTAATATTATATGTTGATGATATTATTTCAATTATTTCTAATCATTATTATCTGGCAATTCAGAGTCCACTATTATCCAGTTTATTTCAATTATTTCTAATCATTTTGCTATGAAAGACTTGAGTAATCTTCATTATTTTAGGTGTCGAGACTATCCGTTCAGCTAAGAGTTTGTTCCTATCCCAACACAAATATGTTACTGATCTTCTAGCCCGGTTTCATCTCCATACAGTCAATCCCGTTCGCACCCCCGTTAGCTTCTCGTACTACTCTGTCTCTTTCTGATGGTGAGTTACTTCTAGATTCTACTGAGTATCGCAGCATGGTAGGTGCCTTACAATATTTAACTTTGACACGGTCAGACATTATTACTTATGCAGTACACTTAGTGTCCCAGTTTATGCATGTTCCTCGTACTACTCATTTTTTGCAGTCAAAAGAATTTTCAGATACTTGCAGGGAACGAAAGATCATGGTCTATGGCTTCAGTAGTCTAATCGGCCAACATGTGTGCTTGCTTACTCCAATGCTGATTGGGCTGGCTGTCCTGATAGTTCTCGGTCCACCACCGATTTTGCAGTATTTTTGGGTCCTAATTTAGTTTCTTGTCCTCCACAGAAGCTGAATATCGTGCGATTGCTTACACTGTCCAAGACACACTTCACATACGGTCTGTTCTGTACGAGCTTGGCTATCCAATCACGGAACCGGTACATTTATTATGTGATAATATCTCTGCTTCATATTTGACTACAAACCCTGTTCAACATGCCCGGAGTAAACATATCCAGATTGATTATCATTTTGTTCGCGAACATGTTGCTCATGGAGATCTGATTGTTAAGCATGCTCCTACTCATTTACAGTTGGCAGATATTTTTACTAAGAGTCTCCCTAATCAACGTTTTCATTTTTTAAAAGACAACTTACACGTTGTATCTCCCTCACAGCTTGAGGGGGTGTAATAGAATTATAAATATGGGTGTTTTGTACTTTACATTAAACTCTTCCAGTATAAATGTATCTGCGAGGGCTCCTCAGGGAGTAACCTTTTCCATTATTCTCACAGATAATAATATTGATCGAAACGGATAAATTAATACATGAACATCTGAAGACTGCCCTCTCCATTCTTCTGGCATCACAACATATATTTGAATATACAACAAAATATAATACGAAGTATTTTATATTCACAGTCTTTTATTTGTGTTTATTATTAGTTACAACATAATATTGGAGCTAACTAGAATGAATTGTTACTCCATTGCAATAAAGACATCAAATTTATAAATAAAAATAAAGAATAAATATATAACTAGTTCTTTAACTAACAAATAATTCTTCACTTTCAGACTAGAATAAAAGTAACTAATAATTCTATTTGATGAGGAATAATTTTTTATTTTTAGCAAAAATAATATTTTCCCATTATTTAACCACAGGATGGACAGATCAGAAGACCTCACCATGCATTTAGGTAACCAATTTTGCAAGAAGCTGCTTCAATTCCCCAACTTGAATGCATGATCCCAAGCTCAAAGGAGGTATATATACTTCTAGGTTCCCTTTTGAAATAATATGTTAGTTTATAATTATTATTAGTATATATCTATATTATTATTATACATATATATATATATATATATATATATGTATATACTATATATATTACATTATTTTATGCAGGCACATGAAAGCATTAATTGAAAAGGAACACTGCTTGGAATCTTCATTCAATTCCAGTTAAGCAGCTCTTCAACCATTTGCAATGCCACTCTACTTTCTTCATCCATTTCAGCAATAATAGCCTCATTAGATGATGATGACATTGATGATAATGAAGATGATCCACCTCCACCCCAAGAATTATACCAACCTCCATCATCGCCGCCGTCACTCGATGACGGCGATAAGATTTGAAGTTGATCTTCCAACATCTTTTTGTTGCCCCCGAGCTCGATTTTCGTAAGCCAAACCGACCCCGAACCGCCGCTCTTTCCGCCGCCACCAGGTTTCTTCTGCCACACCCCGATGTTGCAGCTGTCGGTGTCGAGCCTCAGGCACGTGATCGAAGGCGACGGGTTTTTGCAGCATTTCTTCAGCTTCGCGCTTAGAACGTCGGCGGGTATCGGCGGGGACGGAGTTACACAACTCCCGTCGCCGCTGCCGCCGGCGTTGACGGCTTTGGTGCCCTTGTCATTCACAGAGGGAAAGTTGGTTTTGGCATTCTGGCCGTTCATCAACACCGCTGCTTGATCGTACGCTTTGGCCGCCTCCTCCGCAGTCTCAAATGTCCCCAGCCAAATCCTTTTCTTTCTATATATTACCCACCACACAAACAAACACATCTTTTAAGTTATTTATTTATGGTAAAACACAATTATATTTAAAATAAAATTGAGCACAATCACTAAAGTTGCTAAAATAGTCACTTAAGTATAAAGATCACATCTTTTATTTTTATCCACTTTTTTCATTTTATAAATCATACTCCTACGTCTCATTTTAGTTAGACAAAGTCGATTTTTGATTGGAGTCAATGATGTCTAACTTTGACCGATTATATAATTATAAAGATAAAATATTAATAATATGAAAATAATATGAAAGAGTTTTTTGTTAAAAATTCTATTATAAAAGTATAAAATTATTAAATTTTACATAAATATAGTAGTTAAAATAATTGGTCAAATTTGTAAAAGTTAAAGAAGACTAATTAAGAGATACTAGATTGTCATTTTCAAATAAAAATGTTGTGCTCTTTTGTATTTTAATGATGACTAATGACTAATAATTAAAGTGACCGTAATTATGTTATTTTACACAGTGGCTAACGTTATCTCGTAATAAATTCAATGATTTTTTTTGTATGTACTACCTACTCCGTATTACGAGTACATTACAAAACCTCTATATTTTCTAAAATAAAATTATTTATCAAGTATAGCTCAGAAGTCAGAATAAAAATTATCAGTCAATGGATAGTGGGTTGACCACACAAACAAATTTAGTCATCCTTTTACATTCAACAAACTATACGTCACCAACTTAAGAGAATATAAATTTACTCAACTACTCAACTACCTCTCATTTGGTTGGAACATTAAATTTATTATAATAGCATTAATGATATCATAAATAGATACTTAATGTATGGTGTAAGAAAGAATTAGTGGATTTGTAGTTCAATATGAGATAATGCATGGGTTATATAGAGTAGAAATCGTGTACATATATGCAAGTTTAGTACATAAAATGTGTCATATGCGTAAATGTGATCATATTTGTACTCTGCCGGGAAGAAACAAATTAGATATGAAAAGAAGAGTGGCAGTTTATCACGTCTCTTAATTTCATTAAAAATTATAAAGAATGACCATATTTAAAATTTCAACTATCTATTAATTTCGGGTAATATACATTAGGTTTAACTAATAATTACAATACATACGTATAGTGTGTACTCCATATCAGGCTTAAATTCATCAATAATACAATGCTTAAAGTTAGCCCATACTATCTCTGTTCTATTATACTTTCTTACTTACCTTTTCTATTCTCCCAACCAAAAAGGTTATCACAATTTTTTTAAATAAAAAAAGGATGACACCCCATCCGTGAGGGTCCCTCAACACCGATCGGACACTTACATGGGAGGATGAAAATTGGACTTTAATCATAAGCTGGCAGATAGCGTGTAAGGCTCTGGTCCTGGTACTTGCAGAGGCCTCATGCATTTTAGCATAGTAACCGCTTACCGCAGTTGGCGGAAACAGTCTTTAAATTAGTACAAGGGGTAAGACTGCGTACATCCAACCCCCCCTTACCCTACCGTAGGTGGGAGCCTTCGCGGCACTGGGATAAATGAAAATGAAAAATGAAAATGAACCTCTCATCGCAGTTGTCGGGATTCGAACACGAGACTTACTCCTTGTTGCACTCCCTATCTACCAGCTGAGCTACGCCCGTCGGTACCATTTCTTTAAATTAATTTACTTATACGAGTAAGTAGTATGTAGTAATTCTTATAATTTCTCTCCTCTCGACATAAATCATCAGACACACTTTTTTAATTTTGTATTTCACAGACAAACATAACTGAAAAATAAGGTTGCGCTTATGGAGTATTAGAGAAGAAAGATTACTTCTCTACATGCCATTAGTGCACACCCCTATTTTACTTTTGTAAAAAGGCAATTCATTAGAGAAGTTTAAAAAATTAAAAAAAAAATTGAAACCGTCTGGGTAAAAAAGGGCATGTACACCAAGAATAGTTGGTTAAAGAAAGGATCAATTAATGTATATAATCTATAATGTGCTACCATAAATAGACTAGCAAATACCATTAAGAGTGTATAGTGTGTATACAATTATAAAGAATGTAGGTGAAGAATTAATTAAATAATATAATTAAACTAATGTAATAAAATAAGGGCAGGGTAGGCTAGTGATGAATTGAAGATATATACTCCATCCGTTTCTGAAACAAGTTCCACATTTCCTTTTCGGGCAGATTCAAAATTAAGTTCCACTTTCAAACATTTCCTTATTTGACAAATTATCTACATCAAAACAGTGTCAAACAGTGTTCAAACAGTGCCAAACAGTGCACTCCATAGTAAAGTCAAATTTATTTTCTTAGTATGTGTGAAGTCAAATGTGGAACTTGTTTCAGAAAGGGAAGGAGTATATATATACTCCATACTAGATATGTGTGAATTTGTGAATATATATACAGTAAACGTACAGCAAAGGGTGGCGGATTTCTGAAACCCAAGAGCCCCACTGGCGTTGTCTGACACCTCTGAACTTGTTGGGCTGTACCATTCTTTTTCTTGCTTCCTTGCTTCAATTCAGTTCAGAGATAATGTTTTCTGAACAGTGATATACAGAGATAGAGAGAGAGAGAGAGATGTATGTATGTTGTTAGTTGATGAGAAGAATCAGATGTTATTGATGGCGCCGTATATATATACATATAGTAGCTGGCTAGGTTTGTCGGTGGAGGAGGAGATGAAATGGGAAGAGAAGAAATGAGAAGAAGAGATAGATGGTTATAAAAAAAATTAAATTAAAGAGAAAAGTCAGACAACAGAAAGTAATTTTGAAGTGTGGATTCTTATGTAGGGTGGGTGCCATCAAAGTTACACCTGCTTTGTCCATGCTTTCAATCCTATGATCTATATGTGACCAAGTCTACTCTAATCTCTCTTTCAAAACTACTCTAGTTAATGCATGTGTCTACCTTGTACCATACTCTACAAATTTAAGTGGAATGTTATAAAAATATTAATCACTATAATGATACCATACCAGTCACTTAGAGGTCTCTGATCTCTAATGAAAAAATGGAGAGAGATAGAAATACCAGTAAATACTAAACCCCCTATGACAATGTTCCCAAATGAACCTTGCATAGGATTCAAGGACCAAATTAAAAGTAGATGAAAATAGGATTAAATGTGATATGAAAATGAAAACTAAAGTATATATGGATATATGTAAGTCTTACGCATAAAAAATGTGAGACAAAAATGGAACTCACGTGTAAGAGTGTGTAAGAAAATACACCCTCCAATTAGAATTGTTCCGGTTGAATCATCAACTCCAAGGGCCCTCACACCCTCATCCGACAAGGTATTTGAGAGGACGTAAGTCCACCACACAGGAGCTGTAACCTTCACATGACTGTTACGCGTTTCAATCCTTGATCAATGTTTCAACTTTCGTATCACTCGATCAACTGAGCTACTGGTACAGGTTCCTGTTAAAAATGTTCTTAGTAACTTACTTGTTTGAATAGAAGACATTTAAGAAAATGAGAATTTTCACCTTTGACTTTTTGAAATGGAATTTGAGAAAATATTAATCTAAATGTAAGAGAGCAAATGATACTACCTGTCCCCGGACTTTTACAGTTGCGGGTCAACAGGTAGAGATGGTGAGGATGTTGATAAAAGTAAGACTTTTACAGTTGGGGTCAACAAGAAGAGATGAGATGGTTGGGTTGTTGATAAAAATAGAAATATTTTGATATTGAATTAATAAAATGTGAATAAAGCAAAAAAGAATTACAATCACATAAATATTATGGAGTATCACTTATGATATGATGGGATGCAATTAAAATAGAACAGAGAGAGATCACATGTAAGAATTTATTTACCAAATTAGAAACCGAACACTTTACTTGGACACTTTACAATTAATGAGGAATACAAAAGGTTGGCAAATTATACCATACATAATTTTGTAATTTTTAGCAACTTTAAACATTTGCTCTCCCGCATCTCTCCATGCATTCCCCTTTTTTTTGACGATCCTTTCAATCGTTTGTGCTTTCTCTTTCTTTCTTTTATTTTGTTATTTTTTGTTCGTTCTCTTTCTTTACGTTTTTTTATTGTTTGATCCCCTTCTTTTTTTGTTTTTTTCTTTAGCAACCTATTGCTTTAATTTTTTATTAAATTATTATAAAAACGTACTATGTATAATAAAAAAAATGTTATACAAAATATTATTAAATGTTCCGGTTTATTTTTTCCTTTTCCAATCAACCTTCTAACTTGATTTTTTTTAATTTATGTATTAGAAAATATTTTAGGTATTAATGTTTTACTTTTCTATTTTTACTTGAGGTAAATATTTATTGATTTATTTGTCCTTAATTTTTAATAATGAGTTACTATATTTGTCCTTAATTTATTTGTCATTATAATATATGTGACCTTTTGAATTTTTTATTCTCATTTTGTAAGTTACGTATGTTCATCTGGTACTTGTTTTATGCTCATTTAAAAATGTCATTTTAATTCATATTTCAAAAGTATTATATTAGATTCACATGGGAGCATAGATAATGATACTCAATTTCATGCTTCTGATACTCAATAAAAGAAGTTTGATGTTCAATGAGAATCTCTTGATGCTCAACTAACAAAGCTTATGATTTTCATATCATTGCTCATTTAGTAAGTTATGTATGCTCATTTGGTACTGGTGTTAGACTCATTTTGAAATGTTATATCAACGCATACTTTAAAAGTATCATATTAGATAAAATTTATGTAGGAGTTGATTATAGATACTAGAGCACAGACCATGATACTTAATTGCATTTTATGATACTCAATAGAGGAAGTTTGACTCTCATTGAAAATGTCTTGATGCTCAACTAAAAAACTTATGATTTTCATATAAATGCTCATTTGGTACTGATGTGCTCATTTTTAAAATGTCATAACAGTGCATATTTCAAAAGTATCACATTACATTAGATAGATTCACATATTGAAATTCATAGGAATTGATTATAGATATAACTAAATGAGTTTTTATAAAAGAAAAATAAGAAAAAGAAAGTGAATTACATTAAGTTGATATCACAATATTCATTATTCGACTCTTAATGCTGAGTAGCATACAAATCATGATACATATGCTCATTTGTATAGGTTTGATGCTCATTAAAAATTCATTAATGCTCATTTAACAGAACTCGTGATTTTCATCGATTTCAATAGAGGAGGTTTGATGCTCAATGAAAATATCGTTATGATCAACTAACAAAACAACTAACAAATTCATTAATTCTCATTTTGTAAGTTACATTGCTCATCTGGTACTGATCTTATGCTTATTTTAATAGGTCTGATGCTCATTAAAAGTTCATAAATGCTCATGCACAAGAAACCATGATTTTCATCTCAATATATAGCGGATGTTTGAAGCTCAATTAAAATGTCATAATATTCAACTAACAAACCTTATGATTTTCATATCAATGTGCACTTTGTAAGTTATGCATGCTCATTTTCATTTGGTACTCATGTTATGCTCATTTTTGAATTGTTATATGAATGCATATTTCAAAAGTATCATATTACGTACATTAGACTCGGATATTAAAATTAATAGGAGTGTATTACAGATATAATATAATAAGTTTTATATAAAAAATAAGAAAAAGAAAAAAGAATTAGAAGATATGAAGCAGGAATCGTGATACTCATTGTTAGTCTCTTGAATACTCAATAAAATAGGTTTGATGCTCATTAAAAGTACACTATTGCTCATTTAGCGGAAGACGTGATTTTTCTCTTAAATTACAAAAATGTCACCGAATTATTGTATATATATGCAATTATTTTACCTAGTTTTTTTTATCCTTGTATATATATATGCATTATTTGCAGTCTTTTTATTTTATCATTTTTATATACAGTCATCTTTTTTATATTATCTTTTCATAATAGCTTATCTTTTTATCTTTATTCCTTCTTTTCCTTTTGGTTGTGATATCATGTATCGATTCATGTTAGCCGACCCCAATATCTTTTGGGACTAAGGCTTGGATGTTGTTGTTGTATTAGTTTTTGGGTTGTCTACCTTGGTTGGGCCGGGTGTACATACATTCGGATGTACCATATAGGCACTCCAAAAGGTTCGTTGAAGCATAGGAAGAGTGATTAGATATTTATACTACTTCATGTAAGTGAATTATTTTTTATCAATTTTAATTTTCTTTTAAAATATCTGACATGGGATTCATAGTATTTTTTGTTATGTGTAAAATTTAGAGCTCATTTGATAACAAACTTTTTTCGGTTTATTAACGTTATCAATCATTTTTTTATGATACACGTAACTTTTGATTTAGTAAGATGAGTTTTTTAATAATCAAAATAAGAGCCGGTTCGATAACCCTTATTTCCACCCTTATCAACTGAATTTGATCGCTTAATTGAGCAATAATAAAAACAAATAAGGTTGGAGTTAAATTTTTTAATGAATTAACTGAAGTTAATATTTAACACCAATTCAGCTATTTTAATGTAATTTGTTATTAATTTTATTAATAGAATATATTTTAAATCTAATTTCCCAAAGTACAACAGATTCAGCCAATTCAACTAGAATTTCATAAATTTCAGCAGATTCAGCCGATTCAACCAATTTCAGTGAAACTAAGCGGGCCCTAAATAACGTTGGAGTTGTTTTCTGACTAAATTGACTGAAATTGCTGAATTAGACTATTTTAGCTATTTCCATATGAAATTTTCCTTATTTTATTAATACAATATACTTCGTACTACATGTTATATACTCTGTATAATTTTATCAAAATTCAGCAAATCATTCAATTCAACCACTTCAAACAGGTTTCCACCAAATTTAACCTATTGAGTGAATTTCAATGTTAGTAAAGAGATTAATTTCAATTGCAATTTGTAACTCTTTAGTCTTTTATAATAGACAAATTATGATCGAGCCCGTTTAGTAGTATGAAAATTGACTAATCGATTAATTCTGTTGAAATTTATGAAGCTTTGATTGAAAAGAAAAGTTACACATTTGATTAAAATGTTGGCCGATAAACTTGAAAAGTGATTACCAAAAGTACTTCTATGAGAGAAGGACATTGTAATAAAGAGTGAGACCCCTCACTAGGAGCTGGCCCTTAGAACACATGGTGGAGGAGCGTGCATATCTCACATATTGTACGAAGATACTACCTCCGTCCCGCTATGATTGTCCCATTTTACCTTATCGGTCCGTCCCACTAAGATTGTCTCATACCATATTTGGTAAATTTTGTGTGGCTCTAAATCATTCTTACTTTATTTTTACTTTATCAATTCAATATCAACCATATAAACCACTTTTTATTAATTTGCGTGTCACTCCCTCTTGTCTCATTGTTAGCTGGACGGAGGGAGTAATAATTTGTATTAGTTGACTTCCGAGCTAACCCTCAAAACTAAGGAGACAATCACTTGCTTCTCGAATTCCCTTTGTCGAGATGGGTATCATCAGCTGGCCGCGTATATACCTTCTTACTCTCTATGTCCCAAATATTTAGGTACCACTCTCTCCTCTTAATCATTTTTGTATCTACTTTTTATATTCTAATTTCATAAATACATTATAGTTTTTCGGTACTTCCCATATTCTTTTATTCGCTAAACATTTTTAAAAATAAATAAATTTCTGCAACATTTTCTTTTTTTGATTCC